ACTTATCTGCGGTTTATACTGCAACTATGCTGGGAGAGAGCGCGTTATCTAGTGTGGTCAACAATCTGAAAAAGGTCAGAACCCTCCCTACACACACACACACACACACACACACACACACACATATATATATATATAGAGAGAGAGAGAGAGAGAGAGACCTAAAGTAAGATATGCGTTACACAAAAACTTTTCCACTTTGTCATCTTTCTTTCTCTCTCTGTCTCTCTCTGTCTCTGTCTCTCTCTCTGTCTCTCTCTCTCTATATATATATATATATGTAACAAAGGTTTGTAATTCTCAGAAATAAAAATAAGAAAGAACAGTTGTTTTTTAGACGATCGGTATTTATAAATGTCGTGCGCAATATAAAAAAATGGAGTCTTAATAGGAAACAAAGAAAACAAAATGGTCAAAATTTGTATCTATTTGAGATTGGATCAATAAGTCTGTCGACTGATACACTTATTAGTTGAAGTTTGATCTGAAACTTTCACTATATACTTATTTTTATTTATGTAACCTATGTTAATAGTAAGATTAAGTGCATAGACAAGAAAGGAAATTATTTTGAAAGTAATTATTTATTGTGTAGAATAAATCCTTTTTTTTCAAAATGTCTCCACTTCCAAAATCGCTGTCAATTTCGACAAGTACAACTGTTTTTCTCTCAACCGGCTAGAATCTAATTAACGCATTTCATTTCCAACCAAAAATAAGCCTTATTCCTTCTTCAATATTCATATCTTTAAAAAATAGACAAATGAATAGTAATGTATATTTTTGTAACGCGTTTCATTGTTTTAGGTGGAACTTCTTGAAAAAAAAGATACTGTTCTTTCTCCTGAGACCAAAAGAAATTCCTAAATAGATCAGATCAACTGCTGTTTAAAAATGTATATCATATGGTTTCCTTTATTAGAAACAATGTATGAATTACTATATTATTTCTCAGCAGCAAAGTCACACCGTTATTTTTAGCTTCAGATAATTTAATAATATAATTTGTGTCTCTTCTTTGCTTCCATTTCAAGAAAACGTCAACTGTTTATAAATAAGCCAGAGATTTTCTGTGTGAATTTCTTTACATTATTCACAGTCGGACTAATCTCCTTATCTGTGTTACGATCAAAGCATTTCGGCTGTTTAGCCTGCGATCTTCTTCAGGTATCTTTCGATCTGGGTAAACCTTCAGAGAATTTTGAAGTTAGTCCTTTATTCACTCTACATGGGTAGATTGTTCGCATTCAGCTCTCCCTGTCTAGAGATACCTTGTCTTCGTTAATTGTTTAGTTACTACTAGTTCTATTTCCACTGAGTTTGAGTATATCCGTATATTCGTACTACCCAGCGCAGGAATTGAACTCACAATTATTATGTCACCGAACTGACCAACCAACCCTTTGTCCCTGCCGCACCTCTTTCTTTTGCTCCTGCACTATTTTTTCCATATTTCAGAGTTATTAGTTACTGGTATTTCGGGTACATGATGTTCTTTCTTAATCAATGCCTTCGATATGGTATTTATATTTATGCTAGGTGTACTGAGGACAAAATGGCCGAAATGTTGTGTATTATGATCCCAGAATAGATATGGCGTTAAAGTTAGCACCAAAATATCAAAGAATTGAGCTAAGATGACACCAGCCGAGGATAGAGATCCGCGACTCACTCACACCTAGAAGCCTGAATGTCTCTGATAACATGCGCACGTGTGAACAACTGTTGGCCAGATGGATAGATAAACAACCCGAAATAGGAGTTGAGGCAGTCTCTCATACATTTCAGGAGGAGAATGTAAGGACAATGTTCGCAAACTCATTCTGGCCGAGAGTAATTGACAAAGTCAGCAGTTAAATAAAATGTAATGTTAAAGCTGAAAAATTCAAATATCGTGTTAACACTTTACCTATATATCCACTTCAATACAGTTGTGATAATTACAAAAAATATGAAGATATTAGTCCGACTGTCAAGTCGTCCTGGGTATGACGATAAACTACATCGAGCAGCAACGCCTCTAATCGTGAAGTTTTGAGGGACGTGGAACCATCTCTGACCCGGGGTAGTAGCACCTGTTAGGGTCCCAGCTATAGGCAAATATTTAGCCACCAAACTGGCGCGAAAACACTATGAAATTATAAAAATAGATTTTTAAAGTAAAATACCCGCAATAATATTTTGGAAAAAATATTACCTGCAAAATACATTTGACTCCCGACAAAAAAAAACAAAAAAACAAAAAAAAACGCTTATTACAAAATTACGTAATACATATTCTATTCATACGAACCTATCATAAAAATCTTACCGGCGTTAAATAACCGATTGATGTGTTGATGTGCCGTCAAACAAAAATAAACCAAACTAAAGCAAACCAATTGTAAAGAATGAAAACATGGCCGAGATTTTGTGATCTCCGTTTCAGCTACGATTGAACAAAGAGAGAAATATCGAAACAAGAAAATTGCCCTGTGCTAATCTTCCAGTATTAGAAGGAATTAAATTTCTTTATTTTTTAGATGCTGACCGTGAACGTTGGGGCAAATATTTATTACGAAAAACTACTTTCGGTCACTTACTAAACTATGAAGATAAGAAAAACATGGAGAATAGACTGCGAAAAATCGTTATGTAAATAATGCTGGAATAATGAGAATTAAGAATATTTTTTGATATGAATGCCTTTAGATATGAACTCTGAACTCAAATAAATATAGATTAGAGATTTAAGAAAGACAATGAATTTTTTCTCTACATTTCACCATTTAAAATTATTATTGTTATTATAATAAAAATAATAACACTTGTGTCTTTCTCAGCAAATATAAATTCATACATAGATAAGCTGTTATTGAAAATTGTAATATGTTTTTGTATTGTATATATATATGTGTGTGTGTGTGCTTGTGTGTGTATGTGTGTGTGATAAAATATAATTTTGAGGTTGCTATATTTATGGCGTGAAATTGCTCAATATTAGTGAAAAAGTATATGTAAATATGAGAAGTGCGGGCACAGAGATTAACATTGAATGGCAACAGTCTGTCTCATTATCTAAAGATTCAATCATGAAACAGGCTATCGACATTTGGCGTTGATATTTGTGTCAATACGGCTTATATATATATATATATATATATATATATATATATATATATATATATATATATATATATATATATATGTATATATATGTGTGTGTGTGTGTGTGTGTTATTTAGTCATAATCCTCAACTGCAAATATACACCATGTAATTCCCGAGGGTTTAGTTAATTTGTGTTATCTCTTGCCTTTTCTTTCATAAAAATGTAAACTAATTTTATGAATAAAATAATAATTTTTTTGGTAGTGGTTCCCTAAGCTAAGATTGAAGCAAAAACAATGTCATGATCCTCCACAAGAATTTTTTTCTCAATTTTCTAACATTGGAAGACAAAGGAATGGCCAGTCAATTCGACATTTAATGGAAGTCATCCATTCTGATTTCGGACATGACTAACTGGCAAAATTACTAAGATTTTTGTTGGATGAATATGAAGACTGTTTTCCTAAATTAAATTTAAACAATTTTTTCGTTTTTGTTGTTTAGATCACAAAGTTTTGACCAGTGTATTTTCCAACTTTTTTCGGTTATCTTTTGCATTTGATAATTTTTTGAGAATGAATAACATTATGACTGGGCGCAAACCCTTTATCACGGCCACTAAATACAGTACTACACCCTGCGTGTCTTTGTGAAGTAGCCTCGAGGTCAAGAATCTTTGGTCACAGCACCAGATGTAGTACTACACACTGGAGACAATCCTCGATATCCCGATCATTCAATTTCACACAAGCACGTTTCACACAAAACCGAATTTGATAGATTCATAAGATTGATGAGATAATGACGAAAAACAAAGGAAGAAATGCTGAACTGCTACGTCATATCAACCCTCTTACATGGCAGTGAATGATGATGGCATATTTGATAACATCGACGTTTTCGATTAATGATTTGGTTTTGTAGCAACTTGCTACGTCATATCAACCCTCTTACATGGCAGTGAATGATGATGGCATATTTGATAACATCGACGTTTTCGATTAATGAGTTGGTTTTGTAGCAACTTGCTACGTCATATCAACCCTCTTACATGGCAGGGAATAATGATGGCATATTTGATAACATCGACGTTTTCGATTAATGATTTGGTTTTGTAGCAAGTTGCGGTATTGGGCGAAACTACTGATTGCCTGTTCATTCACGGTTACGACTATGATCTGCTATTTCCGTGTCTCTGTTGAAACCTCGTAATAACTCTGTGTAGACACCTGCTATATATTCCGCACGCCACTGGTGTCCGCCTGTATCTTGCTTCCACCGGTCTCTGAAGAACATTTTGCAGAATTATGCCGTGTATATGGCATTCAGCCTTCTGGCTGTCACCAATGATTCATTGGTAAGTTTCAGTCATTAATTTCAAATCTATAAAGATTTCTTTGGTTTCGGAAAACAATGGCCAGTTTGCCACTTGAACAAGTTCAAATAATGTGATTCCCGAGATGAAGTCTTATAAAACCATTGACGAATATATATTTTTGTAAACAAACAGAACATCACAGCTTGTTGGAATGTTTCATTGTGTTTTTCAGAAATGTTTCTTGGAAATTATTGTGCCTAAGAAAACAACACCGATCCGATCGATAGGATTTTTTTGTAAACAACGTATGATTTTTTTTTTATTTCAGAAGAGGAAGCAACTTATTAGTTGTCACCATTTTCGCGCGACTTGGCGAGTGTGTACTTGATCGTAACCAGACTCCAAGTTAATATCCAGTTTACTTAAGAATAATTTATTTCATCTAAATTCCCGAAATTCATTTTCGTACTGATTCCAATGATCATTAAATCCTACGAAGTCTTCTGTCACATTTTCTTTTGGTAAAATTCGAGTCTTTATACATTTAACTCTGTTCGTAAACTAATCTCAAGACACCTTGGGGATGGTCCTGAATGAGCCACTCATTATCCGACTCGTCACAAATAGAACACCTTTCTTTATTTTATCTTTTCTTTATATATTTTTTTAATAAAATTTATTTGTTTCCGAGGTATATTCTCATCTTCTTTCTTTCTTTCTTTCTTTCTTTCTTTCTTTCTTTCTTTTCGAGGCTACTCACGTTCTTTCTTTCGTTTGTTCTTTCCGAGGTAAATCATTTCCTTTCTTTGTTTTTTTTTCATAGCAACTCACCTTTCTTTCTTTCTTTCTTTCTTTCTTTCTTTCTTTCTTTCTTTCTTTCTTTCTTTCTTTTTTCGAGGCTACTCACGTTCTTTCTTTCGTTTGTTCTTTCCGAGGTAAATCATTTTCCTTTTTTTTTTTTTTCCATAGCAACTCACTTTCCTTTCTTTCTTTTCTTTTCTTTCTTTCTTTCTTTCTTTCTTTCTTTCTTTTCTTTCTTTTTTTCGAGGCTACTCACGTTCTTTCTTTCGTTTGTTCTTTCCGAGGTAAATCATTTCCTTTCTTTGTTTTTTTTTCATAGCAACTCACTTTTCTTTCTTTCTTTCTTTCTTTCTTTCTTTCTTTCTTTCTTTCTTTTCAAGGCTACTCACGTTCTTTCTTTCGTTTGTTCTTTCCGAGGTAAATCATTTCCTTTCTTTGTTTTTTTTTCATGGCAACTCACTTTTCTTTCTTTCTTTCTTTCTTTCTTTCTTTCTTTCTTTCTTTCTTTCTTTTCGAGGCTACTCACGTTGTTTCTTTCGTTTGTTCTTTCCGAGGTAAATCATTTCCTTTCTTTGTTTTTTTTCATGGCAACTCACTTTTCTTTTTTTTTTCTTTCTTTCTTTCTTTCTTTCTTTCTTTCTTTTTTTCAGGTTACTCATTGTTTTTCGTTTGTTCTTTTTTCCGGTAAATCTTTCCTTTCTTTGTTTTTTTTCATGTTTTTCTTTCTTTTTGTTCTTTCTTTCTTTCTTTTTTCGAGGTAAATCATTTCCTTTTTCTTTGTTTTTTTTTTTTTTCATAGCAACTCACTTTTCTTTCTTTTCTTTCTTTCTTTCTTTCTTTCTTTTTCTTTCTTTCTTTCTTTTCGAGGCTACTCACGTTCTTTCTTTCGTTTGTTCTTTCCGAGGTAAATCATTTCCTTTCTTTGTTTTTTTTTCATAGCAACTCACTTTTCTTTCTTTCTTTCTTTCTTTCTTTCTTTCTTTCTTTCTTTCTTTCTTTCTTTCTTTCTTTTTCGAGGCTACTCACGTTCTTTCTTTCGTTTGTTCTTTCCGAGGTAAATCATTTCCTTTTCTTTGTTTTTTTTTTCATAGCAACTCCTTTTCTTTCTTTCTTTCTTTCTTTCTTTTTCTTTCTTTTTTTTTTTTCGAGGCTACTCACGTTCTTTCTTTCGTTTGTTCTTTCCGAGGTAAATCATTTCCTCTCTTTGTTTTTTTTTTTCATAGCAACTCACTTTTCTTTCTTTCTTTCTTTCTTTCTTTCTTTCTTTCTTTTCTTTCTTTCTTTCTTTTCGAGGCTACTCACGTTCTTTCTTTCGTTTGTTCTTTCCGAGGTAAATCATTTCCTTTCTTTTTTTTTTTCATGGCAACTCACTTTTCTTTCTTTTCTTTCTTTCTTTCTTTCTTTCTTTCTTTCTTTCTTTCTTTCTTTCTTTTCGAGGCTACTCACGTTCTTTCTTTCGTTTGTTCTTTCCGAGGTAAATCATTTTTTCTTTTTTTTTTTTTTTTCATGGCAACTCACTTTTCTTTCTTTCTTTCTTTCTTTCTTTCTTTCTTTCTTTTCGAGGCTACTCACGTTGTTTCTTTCGTTTGTTCTTTCCGAGGTAAATCATTTCCTTTCTTTGTTTTTTTTCATGGCAACTCACTTTTCTTTCTTTCTTTCTTTCTTTCTTTCTTTCTTTCTTTCTTTCTTTCTTTTCGAGGCTACTCACGTTCTTTCTTTCGTTTGTTCTTTCCGAGGTAAATCATTTCCTTTCTTTGTTTTTTTTTCATAGCAACTCACTTTTCTTTCTTTCTTTCTTTCTTTCTTTCTTTCTTTCTTTCTTTTCGAGGCTACTCACGTTGTTTCTTTCGTTTGTTCTTTCCGAGGTAAATCATTTTCCTTTCTTTGTTTTTTTTTTTCATGGAAACTCACTTTTCTTTCTTTCTTTCTTTCTTTCTTTCTTTCTTTCTTTCTTTCTTTCTTTCTTTTCGAGGCTACTCACGTTCTTTCTTTCGTTTGTTCTTTCCGAGGTAAATCATTTCCTTTCTTTGTTTTTTTTTTTCATAGCAACTCACTTTTCTTTCTTTCTTTCTTTCTTTCTTTCTTTTCGAGGCTACTCACGTTCTTTCTTTCGTTTGTTCTTTCCGAGGTAAATCATTTCCTTTCTTTGTTTTTTTTTTTCATAGCAACTCACTTTTCTTTCTTTCTTTCTTTCTTTCTTTCTTTCTTTCTTTGACTACTTACATTCTCTTTCTTAAATTTGTTTCATCTCCCAAACACTTTTATTCTCCTCTCTATTTTAGTAACTGCATTTCTTTCTTTGTTTTCTCTCAAATCTACATTCATCCAAATTTGTATCTTTCTATAGAGTCTCTTCTTTCACTTTCACATTTCTTTTCATCCACACGCGTTTGTTTCACAGTATTTTATTAGCAAAATTTATATCAGTATTAGTTGTAGTATTTTTGACGGAGGAGATTTGGGATTACAGCAATGGAAATACTCCTTTACTGATAACAGTAGCTGGGCTATCGGTTTATTTTTTCCTAAGATTGTTTTTATTATTTAAAAAAATATATTCATCATTTTCCCGCCAAACATCTTGTTTCTTGAAGCGCCATATTGGATGGTTCGATTTATCATAAAAGCTGAGCGAGGAAGGAAAAAAATCGCAAGAAAAAGGACTAATTTTTAATTCCATGAAGATTAATCTTGAAAAATTAGTCCTGGGGTTAGAAAGAAAGAAAAAGACAGAAAGACAAGAGAAACGTTGAAGTATTAAATAATTCAATTCTGATAATTTCATTTGATTTTATCAGTTTTATGGCGCTAAAATAAAGAAAAAATACGTTTCAATTTCTTTCAACGAAACAAGTTTTCTGTCTTTCTTTCTCTCTCCCTCCCTCTCTATTTATTAAAGCACTTCTGAAAAAGAACCATTTCCAAGAAGGCAAGCTTTGTGGCGAATACCGTCCTGTTCGGCGAATCGGTCGACAGAAGCGGAAGATGAGACACATAAGAGATAAATGGATACTTAAAAAGAAAATCTATCATTTAGTGAATCAACTACAGCCAATGGACAAAAACAAAAGCTGCTAACAAGGAAATATGGCAACGTGACATCTACAAAATGGCAGGAAGGGAAGTTCATGGGTCTAAGCAGGAAAGATAATGGCGAAGATTAAGAGGTCAAGATTTTTGTGATTAGAAAAAAAAATTCCAAAAGTATGAAAGAACCGTCAAGTGAAAGAAACCATCAACTTTACTAATCAAACAATTAGAAAAATAAAGGATGAACTGGAATGACAGATGAACCTGACAGAAATTAATCATCTTATAAATGCGGCCTCGGCAACGATCACAGAAAAAAATAGGTGAAAAATTAAAAACAAAACGTAAACGAAAAAGAAAAATGCTAATCTAGAAAGAAATAATAGAAACTGAAATGAATAAACTACGAGGACAATTGTTATTTCTAAGTGAAGTAGACGAGGGGCTTTAAAAATGAAAAATGGGGAAAAGGAAACTGAAACGAAGCCTTGATATAAATAATAAGACTGACGTACGAAAAGTTAAAGAGAAGCTGAAACAACAAATTCAAGCGAAGGTACTGAGTATCAGGCATTATGAAAAAAAAAAAAAGAAACACAATTCTTCTGGAAAAAGATCTTCAAAGAAAATGCCAAGAAAAAGATCTTCAAAGAAAATGCCAAGAATTTCTATCGAGAAATTGGAAAAAATAAAATAGGAGTAAATGACCCACCTAATATCCAGGAAGTCGAGGAGTTCTGGTTTAAGATGTAGGAAAACTGCAAAATACATAATGAAAGAGCCACATGGATCAAGCAACAACAGGAACAACGCGCACATGTAGAGTGCCAAAAATGGACGGATATCCATATTACTGAAACATCGCTGCCATCTGCAAAACTAAAAACTGGAGAGCACCAGGAATAGGCGGAATGACCAATTTTTGGATAAAGAATCCATCTAGCACCCACCAAGACATCGCATAGGTTTACCATGATATAATCATAAACCCAGAAAAATGCTCCAAATGGTTCACGTGGGAAGTAACATACCTACTGCCAGATACAGAAGAGACGCAGAACTCGAAGAATTATAGACCCATCACCTGCCTACAAACAATGTACAGGATCCTCACTTCTATCGAGAAGGCATACAACCTCCTTGAGAAAAACAATTTACTCCTAGCCGGACAGAAGGGATGTAAAAGAGGAAGTTACGGGTGAAAGAAACAAATAATTATCAATAAAACAATATTGGAAGAGGAAAAACTTATCGATAGCATAGATCGACTAAAGAAAGGCGTTCGACACATGGATAAAGAAGAGCCTAAAAATATACAGTGTTTGTCCCCACAACGGTTAAATTCATAACGGAAAGCATGAAAAACTGGAAGCCTATACTAAATCTAAACCTAAGTCTAAAATCATACAAACGGGTGATTAGCATTGAGACCAATCAACATCAAAAGCGGGATCTTCCAATTACAGATACAAGTCATAGAATGGTAAACTGAATCACCTATTTTATATTGATGATCTTAAAATGTTTGCCAAAGATGACAATCAGCAGAAAAACTGACTCACCAAATGTCAAAACTTTCAGCGCAGACATTAGGATATGCTGTTCGGAACCGATAGATATCCCAAAGCGACATTCAGAAGCGGTAAACTCACGAAAACGACGGATTTGAACCTTGATATCAACAACAAGATTAAGGAACCAGACCAAGATGGTACATATAAATATTTAGGAATTAATGAAGGAGACGGATACAACATTTAATTATAAAGAAAAGGAGCCGAAAAGAATATTATTGGAGAGTACTTTTGATACTAGAAAGCGAACTAAATGGGACCAATAAAAAAAAGACTATCAACACCTTAGCTATACCCTTAGTAACATACAGCTTGAATATTATTAAATGGAAATTGAATAACATTAATAGATTGGATGCCAAGACCAGAAAAAATGCTTATCCAAATGAGAACGCACCATCCGAAATCAGATATTGATAGGCTGTACCTACCAAGAACTTTAGGAAACACCTCCATGAAAATTATCGACAAATTGTCCTAATACAGGAACCTGGTGATCGTGATTAACAAGAAATAGGAAAATGAAGACTGAGGGTGTACCAATGGTTATCGGACACTGGGCCTCGTGAGAAAAGGAATGGAAAATTTTACTAACAGTGTTTCAGGTAACATCAACATATAAGTTTCCCAGGAGATCGCTCTACTAGGAACATCCCATATACTAACAAAATGCTATCAGTTAAATGACAATTCCACTATAGGGCCAAAGGACCATAATTTGGACCAGCTCTACAGGATACAAAGCAGAAAACATAACATACACAAATAATAATAATAATAAATACTTTTTGTTACCTCTTTCCAGATAGGATTAACTGAAATATTACAATTATCAGTGGTACAAGAGCGACCTATCAAGGGTCAGAACCTCAAGGGAAAAATCGGGCAAGTCTCGAAATAAAGTTTTTGGTACAATGCTTCTCAATCAGAGGTTCCCAGCCTGGGTCCATATGCACCCTAGGGGGTACATATAACAATAATGCGGGTCCACACCAAAAAATCACTAATTGGGGGACCAAGGTAATATTTTAGAGCAATTTCACTTTGGAATTGTGGTTACAACTGAGAATTGGAATTTCTCCAGTAATCTACGACATATTAAAATACCAAAAATAGAAAAAACAATTATGAAACTAGCAGAAAACAAGATCAAGTTATGTAAGTTTTAGCGTCCCTTTTATTCTACCAGATGTTTTGATTGTTAAAGTTGAATAAAAACTGAGAAGGATATATAAAGGAAAGATTATATATATATATATATATTAAGGATATATTTTCTGGGGAAATAAATTATACTCATGGAACCTTAAGGTTGTCTCTTTCTTAATTATTTAATTTATATATATATATATATATATATATATATATATATATATATATATATATATATATAAAGTAAAATTATAAAGATTATAATTTATGTAAATTAATGTAATATATTAATAATATTCATTTTAAATATTAAGCAAATAAAATATAAATAAATTAATATAAAATAACATTATTAATATAAAATATTTCCAAAATAAAATATTTATAATAAAATTAATTTAATATATAAATTATACAAGGATAGATATATATTTACTATTTCGATAATACAATTCCTTAACTTATCTATCAGTAAAAAATAAAATAAGCTTTTTTTCATCAAAATGTTATGGGGGTCCACCAAAAAAAAAAAAAAGAATAAAAATGGTCCATGGGGAAAAAAAAGTTGAGAACCACTGACATAGATGTTTATGACTCTCCATAGCTTCCGTTTCTTTAAATTTACGAATTTCCATGCATTTTTGATAAAGATAATTGAATAATTTCCCGTTGTCTCCTCTTTGGAATTTTGTTTTCCTTCTCTTAGAATACTTGCCTTCCAAGGCCAGAGAGCCCCGTCTACCATGTTATTTAACTCATAGATGAGGGTGGGGAAGAAGAGATTTATGCTTTTTCCAAAGACATTAGTGTGAAAGTGAATGCAAGAGAGTTGCTTGGAATTTGAACTCGTCTCGCCAAATCCACTTTCCGCGGTGATATAGGTTACACTAGCCAAACACTAGCACAGAAACTCACTTTAGTCACTCTGCTATGAAAATTATATATATATATATATATATATATATATATATATATATATATATATATATATATATACACTCAGATATGATTCATTAAATAATATAGAAATAATGTTTCTACTTATTTTTATACTGATCCTTTCCTGTTCTCAAATCAGTTTTTTGATGTTAAGATGAAATTCATCAATTAAGGCACCATAGTTCTTCATATCCAAGTACTTTCGATTTCCTCCATTATCATCCTCAGGGATGAATTGCAAAGAAAGACATATGGCCACTGTGATAAAATCTGCATTTTTTGTGATGATGATTAAAAAATAAAAACACGCGCGAACGTGCTGTTATAATGATTTTCAAATTTATCCGTTGTAGTTATGAAATTTTTTGCCAAACAAGCGTTTCAATATAAGGGAGCTGGACAGGATTGGTTAGAAATGCGAAATGTCATTAATGTTATATGCACTTTAATAGGTTGTTGCTATATTTATAATAAATTTGGTTCACTTGGATCGTTGATTTTGATATAGAGATCCTCGAGAATTTGAATTTTAAGTTTATTATTCCCGTGTGTAGTATATATATACATACATATATATATATATATATATATATATATATATATATATATATATATATATATATATATATATATATATATATATACTGAGATAGATATATATGAATACTGAGATAGATAGATAAAGATATGAATAGATATATAATATGAAAAACTGAG